TCCCTAACATTCTGTGATTCTGTGATTTCCACTTCACTGGGTGCTAATAGTGGTGGTGTTGGTGAAATCCTGTAAGTTTTAGGTCTGTAATATTTTGTGTAGCTTTACAAATATTTAATCCACCTTTTAACTTTTTACTCATATGGGGAGCAAACCAAAAAACACAGCTCACTTAAATATCATGAACTCGGTTGTGGAGTGTTGGAAAAGGAAGCAAAGGTAGTTTGTATGAAAAGCTAATCACACAGAAAGCATCTCTGTCTCTCAGCTGTCTTGTTTAGTCTTTATTGAACCACCAACTTTAATTATTCTCCAGACTAGAGAGCTTCCACTTCTGGGCTTGGAGAGGTTTTTAATTCTAAATCCTTGAAGAAAGTAGTTATTGCAGCATAGAACGTGGGAAAATCATAAGGTATTAAATTTAAAGACTGCTGTAAATAAAGAAAAGGCTTTATGTGTACCAGTTACATGTCTAATTCCCAGGCACTGAATTATTTTTTGATCTGTTATTCAAAAGCCAAAGAAAAAAATCTTTGCAAAAAGTTTACTTAAAAATGACATAAAGCGAGAGGTAAGAAAGAAGCCTTGGGTCGAAAGGAAGTTCAGAGATTAGGATGGCGGTCCACTGTCATACAGTTTGTGGTGTTCTCCAAGGGAGAAAAATCTATTTCCTCACAATTCCTTGCTGTGCTTCTGAAAAATACATAGCTAGGGCAAGTAGGATAGAGATGGCTTGGTGTTCAACTTGAGACATGCAGACTGCTGAAGGAAGAGGTTCGCTCTAAAACTCATGAAAGCTGGAGTAAAGAGAGGAACAAAGAGGAATTTCATAATGCAATACACTGCCACCACCTGCTGGTCTAGCAACCTGCTTCATGTTTTCTCTGCACAGTCTCTGCAATAACTAAACTCCTGCATGTCAGTCAACTACTTCTCTTATTCCTTGTTGCATTTTTTTCATTTTGTATTTTTTCTCTTTCTTCTGCCGTAAAGATGGTTTCTGTCAATTAACTGTGCAGTCTTAGTTAGCTCTTTAATTTTTTTGTGGGGATGTGTTTTTTATGAAAGTTGCAACGCAGTCACAGGTTGCTTAGGAGCAAAGCTTGTGAATAGTGGAGCTGAAGTGGCATTGCAGACTTGCTTGCTCTCGCTGTCTCAGTAGTTAGCCTTGTTGCTTGTAAAGCTCGTTTGTGTTTATCTTTGGAAACCAATTACCTCTAGCAGATGAGCTGGGAAAGACTGTTAAGAACAGTTATTCACTGAGCAACCTAGTGCATTTATTTTATAAGAGTAGGCACATATGCAGACCTGGAAAAAGGTGGTCAGCTAGCCATGGCTACCACTTGAATACAGTGAGGCTTCATTGCCAGTGGTGAACAGACTGGCAAGCAGAGTTTGGAAGGTGCGGACAGAGTCATCTCCAGTGTTGTGTTTATTAATATAGTGTTTTTATGTTAAAAAGATCTAATTCTAGCAAGACTTCATTGGTAGCTGAGATATCTGAGGTGGGGCTAGTAACTTTCAGCAGGTTTTAGCACCCAACAGTTACATCTTCTGCAGCAGGAGAAGCTAGAAGCAGAACAAAATGGTTTGTGAAAAAAGAATTATGTATCTTTTGAGGTGGAGTTTTGGGCGTTCTGTTTAACTTCATATTCTTTTTTTAACCCTTTGACCTTAAAAGACCAATAAGGCTTAAGGAAATGATAGAGGAAAAACAAACAAAAAAATAATTTTTTTGGTCCCTTGCCAATGGCAAGGTTCTGTTTAACTACCTTCAGTCTTCTCTCCCTTCTTAATATGCCAGATCATCCATCCTCTAATGCTGAATGTTGTTATGCTCCTGAAATACAGAAAGCATTCTGTGCTATTTTGTTGTTGTTTAACCATTGCAAAGTTTCTGTGACCTGTTATCATGACTTAAACATTATTTTGGCATCCTTTTTACTTTGATTCGGTAGCAGAAGAAGCAATATGGCTTATGTCAACGATAGCTGACTGCAGAAGTTACCTAGTCTGTATTTTCCAAACTGGTATTCTGCTTTTAATTTTGTACTGTATTCTGTGTGGTTTTTGAGCACAGGCTGTTACATTTACAGGTGAAATGAAGCTGTGATATATTGCTTTTCTGTTCAGTCTTGCTTGCCTGTCTTCTCTACTCTTATTAGCCTCAACATGGCTGAGTTTGTCTTCAGTCAATTATGTTCTTTTCTGCTGCCCTTGTCTATTTTCAGACATACTTACCTGGCAGCGCATTTATCAACACCTTTTGCTAACAACAAAATGATGGCAAACTTTTGAAAGAAACTTAAGATTGTGTTGAGATTTTTTTTTCTCCTGAAACCTTTTTAAAACAAGTAAGAGATTCATAGCAGCCACACATTCCTCTTTAGAGTCTTTTGGTTTAAGAATTCGGGCAAATGAGAAGAAACTGTAGAACTTCTTGGATTAGGACTGAGGTGTCTGATCTTTTTAGAGTAGTCCTGGTGAGTTAGTTATTATTTTTATTGAGGTGTATTTCTTGCTGTGTAACTGTTGTCTGAAATGACGTGACTGACAAAAATTTTGAGAAGAGGCTTGATACTGGTATTCAATTTTCAGACTCCAGAAATTTTGAAAGTTTGATCTTTTTCCTTTTTTTTTTTTCCTCCATCAAATAATGGATTATGACATATGAGTAAATATGCACTGAGGAAAAAAAAATGGCATTGGTCTCATTTAACTTAAGCTTCTGAATTTCTGTTATGGTATACTCTAGGTTAGGGTCTTCCTTGATACTTTTAAGAGCCAGCAATTAAATCCTCTGTGACACGTGAACCTAGAGAAGGAGGAGGATGAAGCCTAATGAGTCTTAGATGCAGTATGTAGATTTATATACCCCTTGTGGGAAAACTGCCATCACTAAGGCTGTTCAGCAACTTAAATGTATCCCGAAGGTCTCATCCCGATTCAAGTGATTAATACTAGTGCATAAAGTAGGAAGAGCTGGGGCACTGTATTGTACCAGCGCACTCGCTTGAGTTCACAGGCTAGATGGGACTGTGGTGCTTACCCTCATAGGTAGCAAAAGCACCTAGTTATAAACATCCTTGTTTAAAGGATCATGTAAGCAAATCTTGAGGCGACAGAACCAGAGCATGATGGTGAACATTGATATGCAGCACTGAATCATAGAATCGCCTGGTTGGAAGAGACCTTTGAGATCATCAAATCCAACCATACCTATCCACTACTAACCCATATCTCTGAGCACCTCATCTACCCAGATTTTAAACACCTCCAGGGATGGTGACTCAGCCACCTCCCTAGGCAGCCCATTCCAGTACCTGATAACCCTTTAGTGAAGAAATTTTTCCTGACATCCAATCTGTACCTCCCTTGGCACATCTTGAGGCCATTGCCTCTTGTTCTGTCACTGGTTACCTGGGAGAAAAGACACTCACCAGCCTCTCTAGACAATAAGTTGTTATTTAATGATGATTGACTTTTAGAAGGTACTGACCAAAGTTGCTGATCGGCCGTTGATTGCTAACGATTAAGTAGCTCTTTGTTATCAAATCTATTAAGGTTGTTTTCCTTACGGCTAAGTGACTAACTTGTTTCTCTCTGTCCTTTTAGGAAAGAGTAATTAACCATGCAGCCGGCAGCCATGGGGTGTCAGGAATATTCATGAAATATGACATCAGTTCACTTATGGTGACAGTGACAGAAGAACACATGCCTTTTTGGCAGTTCTTAGTGAGGCTCTGTGGCATTATTGGGGGAATTTTTTCAACTACAGGTAACTATCAGGGCTTTTCCTAGGATGTCCTATTAGAATGTTTTTTGGTTGTGGCAGTTGTGTTGCGGAAAAATCACCGGGGAGTCCTGAACCTCTAGCAGGTTTGAGACAAAGTGCTCATTTGTGTGCACTGAAATGTGCAATGAAAATTAGAGCTACTCATTTTTGGTGTCCCAGTGAGCTGTTCTAAGGGCCTGTTGTTTCTCTTTGGTAACTATAGCATAGTTTATTTACTGCTGTAAAAATAGGGAGATACGTACGTAGAGAGAAAGACATATACACACGCACACTCTGACTTCTGATATTCTGTGTGTTTCCTATAGTTGGGATCCAGTGCTAAATCAGTACCCAAAAGCTGAGATAAAATTCCCATCTGGAATAGTTTGGAGGATTTTTCTTGTTTAACTTGTCAATGTACTGCAGTATTTGTTCCTTCAAAGAAAACAAACTAAGTTGAAAACGCACAACTCACTTATTAGTCAAGATGTAATAGAGTATCTTGATTACAAGTCATTTATTTTCTTGGCGTTCGCTTGGAGAACATAGTAAAGAGACCTTGAACTAAGAGCTGTCTTTCAAAGCAGGTATTTCTGTCCACGGAATGTATTTTCACCCATGAAAGCCAAGCAGAGGGAATGACACTTACTTGGATACCTTTGGTTTTGCCTTTATTGCTGCATTTCGGAATGTTAGAATTCCTCCACCTTGGTGTTTCCTTTTTTATGTTAATTTCCCAGTGTTTTACATACCATTTTACTGCACTGTATCCTGTTTAAGTATCATGTAGAGTTTTGTTGTAGTACTTCTGTAGAAACTACAGTTGTAATACTTGTGACAATTTAAATCTTGTTTGACGTTGCAGGAATTTTACATGGCTTTGGAAGATTTGTAGCAGAAATTATTTTTTGCCGTTTCAAACTGAACTCATATAGATCCGCATCGGTAAGAAAAACTTTCTCTAAGTATTAAGTAAGTGGTACAGCCACCTGAGGATGGGTGGTGAGGACAACTTTGGGACTCAGTCCCAGCAGAATTTAAGATGCTTGTCATAAACCCTCCCCTTGACATATATATAAGGAGAAATTCAACACCTTTTTAAAATGGTTGGAGAAGCTAACACGTAAGGAAGAAAGGTGTTTTCTGAGAAGCTGAATTGATGGAAACTGAGTCTCTTAGGTTTCTCTGCTACATCCCCTCCATCATCCTTACTGTATTCTTCTTATTTTCATATTGCTACAAAAATTACACGTTTTCCCAGGCCTCATCAGTCTCCCTCACATACTTTTCTTCTGCTTGGCCTGCTGACTGAAGAAGAGTCACTGCGTGCTGCAGGGGTTCAGTGTTGCTACTGATGAGCCTGCAGCCTGCTGCCAAGCAGTATGAAAGAGCTGAGCAGTCTTTACCTTTCCCTTCACTGGGCACCAATAGGATTGTTCCTCTAGCAGCACCTTGATTTTATTTTACTTTTATTTTTCCTGTTTAAGCCTTTAAGACTTCTGCCTTTCTCTCAAATTTGGTTGAAGTTTGCCAGCTAGCAAAGTTACATGAGTGGGAGGAGAGGAAGGCAGGCAAGCAAATTGGTGTAATTTTTGTTTGAGACACCTGGCACAAGGCATACAAGAAATGCCTCAGAGTAAAGAAGTGTGTGTTTCTCGGGAGGGAGGGGAGATTCTGTTTCTGGACAAGCCATTAATAACACTTTGTTTTTGTTTGGCTAGGTCTCACTTCCTGATGGCCACACAAGCAACCACTTACCTCCAGTTACAGACAATAGTACGCATTAGCCTCCTGAGAAAACTTTCTTTCTTCCTGCCTGATACAGAAGACAATTTTTTATAATTAAAAAAACCGTTGTGCAATATTCTGAGACAGTGATGACAGGCAGCAAAAAATGAAGCCTTTACAAAAAAAAACCAAAACAAAAACAAAACACCAGACCACCAACAAAATAATTTGTGTAATTTTGTGTCTTTCTGTGTGCACATGGAATCAAAGGAGGTTGTGAAACTAGTGAGGTGGACCATCTTCTGGAGATTAAAGGAGCATTGCTGCCAATACAGTATTCATGGTTGAGCTGAACGTCTTTGTGATGACTGCCATTGACCACTGAAGCATCTTAGTGATCTTGGTTCAGTGCCTGGGAAGGCTGGCAGACTCCAAGAGGCAAAAAGTACAAGTGGGATGTGTGGAAGGGCCGGGCAGCAGGCAAAGAGGGACAGAGCTGGGCTTTCTCTTAGGTGTACAAACTGGGGTTTGGGTTTTCTTTTGTAATGGTGGGGCCAGGGGCTAAGATGCAATTCTTACAGGTGGGAAGTGATCCTAGAAGATCCTGAAGAAGGGTGAGACAAGAGAGAACTTGGGGAGTAAGGTGGAGCCCAAGCCATAACGTTGGCTGTAGCTGTTGCCTTTCTGTAGTCCCACCGTTCCTTAGTGGAAGGAGTGTAATGTGGAGCAGAGGAGTTCCCTATTTTCACACAGCTGCTTTGCCAATGGTGAGAATATTGATTCGGGTGTTGGTTTGGAAGTGTCCAAGGACTCTGAGAATGGGCTACAGTGTGCACAGTTTTTTGACGTGGAATAAGAAGCCTTTTAAATAAGCCATTTGACTGTAGTTTTAATAAAAGGCAAGACTCCCTAGCTAAAGGTCAGGAAATCTTTGTACACCTCTTTCTTCGTAAAGGAGTTGCTTTTGATGCAACATTTGTTGTACCCCTGCTGCTAGTAAGCTATGGTAGGTAAATCCTGGAGAGAGGGACGGAAAAGAGCAAGAAGCTGCCTTGCTTTGGTTCAGCCAAGTGCTGTGGAAATGTGGAATTGGGGGCAGCTGGGAGGTCTGCTAGCCCAGGCAGGGGCGGTGGAGTTGGTCTCCAGGTGATAGGTGACTTCAGGGAATCTGAATCATTTTGCTGCAGACAGGTGAGAAGGGATCTGCAGAATTAATCCCTACTGTACATGAATTTTTTTGTAAAATAAATAAAAAGAGCAATATCAGTTTTATATTGTAAAGATGCTACTGAGAATGAATGTTATTAATGGAGATGGTGCTTTGAGAAACTAATCCTCTTACTGCTGGACTACTGGCATACACCTGTGGTTAAACAGTTACTCCACCAGAGCAAAAAATTAAGAATATAATTCCTTCTCAGCAAAACTGATTTAATAATATATTAGGAGATGATGCTGAACTTGGCCTTACTCACCATGGAATAAATATTATAGTTGAGAGGACTAACTATGGAAAAATAAAAATCTCTGTGGCGTTGTCAGATTCTGCTGACTTCTGTTAATGTACCTTACAGGGCATTGGGATCTTGGTGATGAGCACAGTGTAAATAATACAGCTGATTTGCTATGCAAAGCAAATGGCTTCCTCAGCTGAGAAATTATATGAAATAGTAAATAAAATGTGGGAAATCAAGAAAGGCCTTTGTTCAGTCTGACTGTTAAGAAAGACAGAAGTTCAGGCAAGCCAGGTCCTTGGGGTTAACAGCCGAGTTTGGATGTTTTGTGGTTTTTTTAACACTGATTAAAACTCCAGCAACTTGGGAAACTCTTGTCCTTGGTGAGCAAGAAGATCAAAAGGTGTCAATTTTTGGTTCCCATTTCTCTTTGATATTTCCCTCTTAAGTTTCTTTTCTACTTCTGCTTGAACTGGTTCTGCTTTGGTTCTTTCTGACGCTTTCTTTCCTGACACTTCTTTCTTCCCTGCCTGAAACAGACTGTACTGGTGGGAGATACTGATCTCGGTTGACTTTCTGTACCAGAACTTAACTGTTCTTTTCTATTGTCATATAAAAGAGCCAAGTGGATTGGTGCGTCTTAAATCCTTGTGTGGCGTGTTCATGTTGTTCTGTCTGGAGCAAAGCTTGTGTGATGGCTGGTCATTGCTAATGGAAGAAAGTTTGAGATCAACTTCCAGGTGTGAGGTGCTGCATCGCAGAGTGAATACATAGAATCATAGAATGGTTTGGGT